AAATGGACATTGACAATGGTAGCATTAGATATCTAGAAAAAGATTTCTCTTCCCAATGGAAAGGGATCGGCCATAGTCAACTCGGTTGACCAAATGGTAAAGAGAAAGGCTAAGTCTGAGATAGTCTCATGTGCCATTACCAAAGGGTCCATGTGTTTTGTTGCCAAAGGAAGGGGCATTGGTTGCGAAGCTGCCCTATTCACCTGAAAGGTCATAAGGTTGATCAAGTCAAAGTTTGACTCTACTTCGGGTAAAGTCCACTGACTAACTCTATTAAGTTCCTATTTGGAGATTCTTATTACATAATGTGAATGGGTCACATGTTGATGTTTTAAGAATCAAAGAAAAGATAGGAAGCTTAAAGTAAGTATATGTTGATTCTGATTGCGAAGGTGGGTTTCGATCGCATGGTTCGGTAATCAGAATTTTGAGCTGTTGCTTAAGAGTTATAATATATTGCTTATGAATAGATAACAACAAGGTTTTCATGTGGATTGTAAGGATAAGTTTTTCCGCAAAGTTTTAAAATAAAAAGAAAAAAAGGTTTTAATTTTATTTATTTTAAAAATATCCTTACAATGGCATCTGTGGAAAATTGTTGCTTATATGTTTCCAGTAATAGCAATATTGGAAAGTGGATTTGATTCTTTCATTTGTGGTAGTGTCTGAATTTACCAAATGAAGAAAGTTTTTCATCACCCAAGTTTCAATTGGACAGAAACTTGGAATCATACAAGTTGTATTGTATGATGAATGAGAATTTTCATCTTTGAAAATTAAGACTAATTCTTTGATCACATGTATATGTGAGTCAATTGAAGGACTAAGGAATTAGGTACACTGGGTGTGCGCTGGTCAAGGTCCACCACAAAGATTGATTTCATGATTTACTAAAGATTAGTAAATATGATTATACTTATAAGGTTAAGTATAATTCTGTAACATTGGAAAGGTTACAATGTATGACAAAACAAATGAGAAGAATCAAATTAGGCAGAAAGATAAAAGTTTCTCAAATCTGAAAGGATGGGAGAGTACTTTAGTATCATATTTCATGATCATCTTAATGATTATGAAACCATATCACAAATTCATACTCTAAGGACGTCTTAGTGCATTGTTATGGCTAAGAAGAGAGGTCATGAATTGTTGGATTGGTTAAAATCAAGAAGATGAGTCATACTTCGTTCCAAAACAATTCTTAGAGTCATACTCCAAGATTGTAACCTTGAGTGACATAAAGGAAGATTTATTAACACTAGTCAAATGTAAGAGTAAAATGTTTTCTACTCTTGTACATTTGAGATTGGTAAGTTGTGATGTCTTGGATGAGACAAAGACCAACTAAGACCAATTGTGTGAAGTGTTAGTCTTGATAAGAATCCGCACTATCCCTTGAATATTTGTTTTGTCAAGGAATGGTTCTTGACTGGGAAACTTATATGTCAAGGGACAGTGGGAGCCTTAAAGATCCTGAAAGAGTTTCAAGATTTAATCAAGAGTAAAACCTGTAATTTATCACTAGCACACGACTTAAGGTTTGCAACCTATCGTGTTGACATAATTCTTATTTCTGTACCTACTTCAAATAAGTTGAATTTGCATGTGAGTTATCAGAGTTCAACTTGGAAGCATTGGTGGGCCTTGTGCTACCAAGGTGACAAGAAACTAAGATTGAACAAGTTTAATCCATGTAAGGCTGAATTTGTCACTAACCTTATCTTGTGATTATGGTTTTGACAAATTCACATGGATAGGAACTCATACACTATAAAATCTAAGTGTCATAAGGTTTCTCTCCGATTCATGAAAATGATGGTGAGGAAACGCTTTCACTAAGTAGATTTTACGTAGATATCAATTGTGTTATTTGCATTTTCAAAAGTCGTTAGTGGAGCGTGTGGTTAACCGGCACACTAACATGGACTTGTGAGAAATGGCAAAGCTAAGCAATTGAGACTATGATTACGGCATCCCTTTTCATAGTTCTGAAAATTGTTTAGACACACATGTGAGCTATCTAAGAAAGGGTGTATGAATCTAAATTTCAGAAGTCCAGCAGATTTCTGGAAATATGTCAGAGCTAGTGGGAGCATAAGTGTTATGCTGATAATCATCATGTTAGTGGGAGCATGATTATTACGTTTAGTGTTGCAAGCTAGCAATGTTACTTATAGAAAACAAAGTTTCAATTCGTGAAGTTGCAGGGGTTGAAAAGTTGTTTTGCTATAATTAAGGGAGAGGAAATTATACTTCATTTCAATTCTAAAGCTTAGATTGAGATTTTAATCATCTTTAGTCAAGAATATATATATATGATTTTATGTTGAATGGTTCACTTGAAGAAATTCTATATATATTGCGTTTTCAAAATTCGATTATGATACGGCATCCCTCTTCATAGTTAAATTTTGAAAACATGGCAAATAAAAAATATTGTAGCAAAAGACTGTCTAGTATCATGTCTTTATGTCAAACATCATGAATCGTGTCCCATATGCTTCGGATATAGGATCGATTGCATGTGCTATAATATTCATCTTTTCTAAATTTTCCAAATGCTTAAGGCATTGAGAAGGGAAAAGTCTAGAACTGGATATGACTAAAGTGATTAAGCAATTGTCGAGGACAATCTGAGGTTCGCCAAAGATTGGTTGCTCAGGAAAGTTGGAAGTATGATGTAAGTTGTCGGAAAGGACCATATTGACATTTCTGAAAAGAAGTAACTCTTGTTCGGAAGTGATAGTCAAAATGGGACTATGGAAATGTCTCCATAGGTGGAAGTTATTCAATCTATGTAAGATTAGAAAACCTTAATGCAAGAAGGATGTTCAAAGCAATGTACTTTGAATATGAGACTTCCGTTCCATAGAAGTTGACCTTCTTTGGAATACTCTGTAATGACTGGTGACAAGGTTTTGGTGACTTTGTGCATAATCATTACAAGAGGAACATTGCATAAAAGTTTAAAATCTAACAGATTTTTTGGTAAATGATAGGAATCGGGGATTCTCACATTTACAATAAGGATTTGGGATTGTGAAATGAGTATCATTGGAATCAGGTCAATTGATCTACATCACAATGTAAGATCATAGACAAACATAGTGTGCATACTTGGAGTATGGCATAACTATTGTTTAGAAAAACAAAGTGTACATGCTAGGAGCATGGGACGACTGTTGTTTTATTCAAGTCTTAAGTTGATTGTTTGAAACATTATACAATGAATAATGTGTAATCAATATGGTGATAAATAAAAGGTGGTTCTATTTATATTCAAAAGGGTTCTGAGACCATATTGGATTCGATTATTATTGTGTTTCACTTTGCATGTTTTGACTTCCAAAATAGCTAGGTTATTCTTTCTGAATGACTAAGTTATTTAAACACTCCACAGTCGTTCATATGTTGGAAGTAGGTATGAATCAAGACTGTCATGAATCGAGGTTTGTAGATGGCTAAATGGGTTTAGTCATAGCAATGGTTGCTACAACATTCATGAGTGCTCATAAGTTATGAGTATTGGAATAAACCCACGCTCACTTGTATCACTTCATGGAATTTATCTCGAGTGATCGTGAGACGGTAATATCATATAAATCTTCAAACCTAGAGATATGAGTTGTTACCTATGAGTTGGTTGTGCATTGATTGCACGTAAACGCATCAGTAACTTGATGTTATAAAACGTGCCTTTGTGTACAATTCAACAAGTAGTAGAACAAGCATATGAGTCGAAGTTTATCTGTTCCTTCTAGAAATAGAAGCGATATCTGGGCCCCTCGATGATTTTGTTGTGACCTATGTACCGGCCGGTCAGAACTAAATTGATGTGTTCGATTAAGTTCCTTGTCAAACAAATCGAAAATCGGGAAACAAACTGCTGGACAATAAGTACGACGTTGTTCCATGTATTTGTCTGGCTGATATCATTAGAACAGAGGATTATATGATCACTTATCTAAAATGGCGCTTCATAGTTCAACAGAGTTTTCGAGAGCTACGATTGCTGGTTGGTTCCCGAAGTAACATACGCAAATATAGTTATTAGACTTATCCAAGTGGGAGTCTGTTGGATAAGGTGTCTAAGTCCATAACTTATTTGGTACATACTTGACCCGACCCGGCATGGTCCATTTGGGTTGCACTAGGTCTTACTTACCTGTAATTCACCTCTAACAAGAGCTTGCTTCAAGATGTTAGCAACACCAATAGGCCCCTCTACTCCAATCGCTGTATGGATATCATCAATAAAGAGAATAATTTCACCACTTTCCTTGATTTCTACAATTAGCTTCTTTAGTTTCTAATGCATCTCTTCATGATCAAATTGACGCATGTTTACACTAATCACCTGGAAAACAAGTTCGTAAATTTCAAATGACCCTTTTATCTAAAAAGAAAAAGTAACACAAAAATGAAACTTCAAACTCTCTTCACTAAAATCTTGTGTTCACAACCCTTCTCCTAACGCAAGACCCATCATACAGTCTCATATTATTACTTGCAATAATTCATGTAATGGAATACGAAAGCAAGAATAAAGAATTTTCTATGCATTTATTGACTAAAGTGTACATGCATAGTTACTAAAAAGCCCTTGAGCATAACTAACTATAACTAACTGAATACTTACAACACACCTTCTTATCCTTGAGACAATCTGGAACGTTATTATAGTATGAAATACTTTCGACGAGGCCTTCTACAACAGATGTCTTTCCAACACCACGTTCTCCAACAAGGCATGGGTTGTTTTTTGTAAGCCTTCCCAAAATTTGAGTAACTCTTTCTATTTCTGATTGCATTCCAACAACATCCAGCTTTAGCTGAAAAAAATGTAATAAACTAATTCTAACAGAAACACACTTCAATGGTAAATCACTTGCATAATATATATATATATATATATATATATATATATATATATATATATATATATATATATATATATATATATATATATATAATTATATATATAATATATATATATATATGTTGGACACAAGTTACCTCTTTTGCTAGCTTTGTTAAGTCAATACCATATTCCTCATGAATTGGCATCTTGTTGTCAAAGATCAAATCATTAACAACTTTTGAACTCTCAACCATTTCCATCACCTACTCAAAGAGTTCAAGATTTCACATAAAAAGTCTTTTTTTTCATACAAAAATACTATATGTTAAGTTGTTAACTTGGACACCTAGCTAGACTTGCCTTTGTGCGAATAACATTTAGGGATACACCTAACTTCCTAAGAACATGTTTTACACCTCCATCCACACGAAGCAACCCAAGAAGCAAGTGCTCGGATCCAATATAATTACGACCTGAAAAAATAAAAATAAAGCCATAGTACTAATTAAATTAAGTTAACTTTATTAACGTTTCAACAACAAAAAATTACCAAGTTGTTGGGCCTCCTCTAGTGAAAATTCGAATACATGTTTTGCACGTGGTGTAAATGGAAAGACATCGGATACATTTCCACTACCACTTCCAATTATTTCTTCTACCTCAGCACGTGCATCTTTTAAAAAAAATCCCCATTGATTTCTAGACCTTTGCTGATATGTCAACGTCTTCTTCAGCAGACACTTTGTTGAAGTCGCCAATAAGACCTAATAAAATTAGCTCTACACCCACGAAATTGTGTCCAAGTTGTCTTGCCTCTTCTTGTGCAAACTTAATAACTTTTTTTAGCGTCCTCTGTAAAGGGTATTGTCTCATTAATCATGGACATTTCTCTCCTAACTGAGGTGTGGAAATCATCGCTTCTGTTGACCATGGTGTCTAAACCAGTGAAAGTCGTAGCTTTCGTTAATGGAGGAGTTTGTAAGGTGCACATCATCTTGACTTGTCTTTTTGTATTTCCAGATTGCTTTGAATGGATCTTGCTTTTATTGGAAACTGCCCAAGGAAAGGTGGAAGATTGCACCAGAGCCCCTTTGCATGATTGCAACTGAAGAATTCTGCAAATAATATATTTTATATTATTATATAATAATAATAATTACGTATTATACTTTCTCTAATATTTTAGGATAATGTAGATACTTGCAATAGTTCCCTCAATAAATAATATGCGTATAGTAAGAAGAAAGTGTAATGCATAACCAATCACTTCACAACTTGGCATTGAATAAAACATAAGAATCTATCTCACAATACACTAGTACAGAAGATGTTTAATAAAGCGGTTTATTTTATTTTTTTGATGCGGTTATTCAACCGCTTCAAAAAATATAACATTATAAAACCGTCTTGTTTTTTGAGGCGGTTTAAAGCCTTAGAAAATGTCCAAAACCGCCTCATAAAAATAGCTTCATAAATTATACTTGTTTTTTGAGGCAGTTCTTAAACAGCCTTGGAAAAACACAATTATTTTTTGATACTGTTATTAAACCGTCTAGAAAATAGAGTTATTTTTTTATGCTAAATAGAGTAATTTTTTGATGTTGTTAGCCTTAGAAAATAGAGTTATTTTTTGATGCTAAATAAAGTTATTTTCTGATGTTGTTAGCATTAGAAAATAGAGTTATTTTTTGATATTGTTAGCCTTAGAAAATAGAGTTATTTTTTGATGCTGCGAATAATGGCAACATAAAATATCATAAATCAGTTGTTGATGCTTACAGTAAACATCATTAGAAAATGGAACCACCTTAGGCCAAAAAAAAATGCTCTATTAAATAGCACAATTTGGTTGCCATCAATGGCAGCAAAAAAATATAATACCAACAAACACTCGCATGTGTTTAATCACTATATATCCACATTCCCAACTACCTTTTTGTTTATAGCACCACATTTAATTCACAATTAAATATTTCAAACCATTTGAAATAAATTGATAAAAAAAAAACAACAACAAAAAACATACCTTTACCGTTTCCCACTTATCAAATTGTCCTGGAAAAATTCTATTTATCAACGGAGCAAAAAGGTATTCGTGTGATTTCTTTTCATCATTTTTTGAAGAATCCAGAATATAAACAGATTTGCTATTCGGATATAGGATAAAAAGAACCCAATGGTCACTACAAAAATAAAATATATAGAACAGGTAAGCATATATGTGTAGTGTGTATATGTATGCGTATGTATTATGGAAAGAAAAAAAATACCCCTGTAAATATGGAGCAATAAAATATTTTTTGCCTTCATGATACGAATAAAATATTTTTTGCCTTCATGCTACGAAAATACTTCTTCGATATGTTTGGCAACAGCCGTCAACCTTATTTGCGTATCTAATCTTGCAATGCATAACAGATCAAAAAAAGCGCATTCGGAATTGGGAGACCTAGAAAAACACCTATATATACTACACAATGTTAGTAAAATTAATTATATCTGAATGTTATTATACCATATTAAAAATATAATAACTTACATCGCAAACCAATGTATAATGCTATAATCAAGCCAACCCCTTAAAAATAACTGTAACACCTCGCTATATAGGATGGGAAGTCGAACTTTGTCGCGATACATCCCTCTGGATGAAAAAATATAAGTGCCATGTGCATTCTTAAAAAAGTCTGCTACTTGAAAAGCAATAGCTTGAATTTTAGGACTTTTTTGTTGTACTTTGCTCAAGGATATATAAAGAGCATCATCTACACATGTAAACGGTTTGATTTCGGGTTCGGATTCGGGTTCGGGTTCGAGTTCAGGATTAGGATCGGGATCGCGTTCACATTCTAGCCTGGGTCCGGGCCCGGATCCGAGTGCATTTAAACAATTTGTTGTGGATTCATAGATAATATCTAAAAACAAACATAAAGCATTAGTACTACATATGATTGTATACAAACATTAAACATCTAAAAACAAACATAAAACAAGTTTTTTTAAGACTAGCCATATCAACCAAACCACCTTGAAAAGGTTCATTAGCATCCATTTGATGATGATAAGGAAATTGGTTTTCCTCAAACTAAAATAACAAACAAATTGTTATAATATTAACAAATAAAACTAAATTAACAACATTTTATAAGAGTGAACCGGTCGACTACGACTACCTGTGGACGATAAAATGAGGTTGTGGTGTCATCAACGTGTATCTGTGGAGAGGAGTGTTTCGAGCCTATTCTTGTGCCACTATTTGACTTACTCGGTGTTTTGTTCGCAAGCTAAATAGATTGCAATATTTAAATAAAACTATATTAAAATATATTTTTGTATTTAAATAGAAATATATCTTTAATGCATATCTCGGCCACTGAACGATGCTATGAAGCAGATGTTTAACAAATTCAACTTCATCCGTTCGTGTTACGGCATGCACAGGCAAGTTCTCATATATTTCTACGATCTCATCAACTTGAACTTTAACACAACCTTCATTTACTGGTTTTGAATGTATAACCGTTTCTGAGGTTGGCCATGCCATACCAGAAGCTACTTTCAACTGAGTATCAGCAACTTTTAATAACAAATCACATGCTGTCATAACCTACAAATCATACCAAAAAAACTATAAATCTAATATAAGTTTATGTAAAAACTATAAATATATTACCTTAATAGGCGGATATTCTACCAATCGTCCATCGGACACACCATTAGATTCAAGGAATGTTTGGTTCGTGTCGACCCGCGGTATCAATTTTCGACTTTTTTTTCACATTCTTAAACAATCCACCTGAAACCTTGGTAGGCCCAATGATATTGGATACTGTCCGTGATCGCCCCCCGTGCTCGGGCCCCAAAAGCCTAACTAACGGGTCTTCCTCATTTTGATAATAACTCCCATCGGCTATCATATTTTTCTCTTCTCGTTCCTATATAAAAAAAGTACTTGGTAACATTTATTTACTAAAATAATCAAAGTCTCATTATTTAAAAAACATAATTGTTACCAAAAATTTGAAATTTTCAATTGCCGTTTGTGGAAGATCATACATCTTGGTTTCTTTGTCTTTTATTGCAAAAGACATTAAATACAACTTAGACCGTTCATTTTGTATGATTTCTAGAAACTCATATTTTGCTACAAGTTGAAGCCATATAATAGGTGTTTTTTTTTCAAGACCCGGCCATTTACCTCGTCCTACGTGGTTTTGGGATTTCTTTTTAGCACTATTTTTTTTTTAGCTTTTGCACTTTTTGCCTACACACATATCAACAAAATTTTATTAATTATTTGTAAACATACTAATAATATTATCAATAATAATAATAAATAAACAATTAATACATACCAAAAACTCAGGGTAGTTTTTTGTGCAACGAATCTATCCCAAACATCGCGAGGTATAAAGGTATATATAGCACATATATGCGTCTAATTCATTATTTACAAATTTTGAAACTAGCCTTGATTTAAAATTTAATGCAAGTTTCACAGCTCTCCTCTTCATATAATCTTTCATGTCATCAGACTCGATATTCCATTGCTTCTATAATTTCAAAACAAAAAATGTTAAACATAATAACTAACTAACAAGTTATTCATATTTGTAATAAATTAAAATATAATACCTTAGCTTCCAACCATAAATCTTCAAAATATTTATCTTTAACTTTACCCGGATCTTCATCTATCGGAAACCTATGTTGAACATTCATGCCAAACCAAGACATAAATAATTGGGTTGACATGCCACCATTTGGGATATTATTCTCATTGAATTTAACATTATACTCTTTAGGACGATAATTTTTCTTGAATGCAGCAATACCACGTTGACCTCTTTTTCTTGTTATTGGTCTTACCTCATCCATTTTTATAACCTAACAACATTATACAAATTAAAAATAATTTTATCCATGATAAACACTAGAACATGATAAACACTAGAGCATAACATATTCCAATACAATAGTATATTACAAGAAAAACAAAAACATAATCCAACATAAAAGTTACAGATCCAATGAAATTGGTAGACCCATTTATGCGGGCCAAATATTACATTTATTAAACAGAATAAAACATCTTCTCATATTCTAATGGTTCAAATGCATAGCCATTAGTTGTAAGGTCGACAAGTGTAAAACCATCTTTGTCGACTTGAACACCTGTACGGTTATTCACCCACTTGCATTTGAACACGGGAATAACGAAGTCAAAATAGTTCAACTCCCAAATATTTTGTATAACACCGTAATAAGAATCTCTGGCTATTCTTATCAAAGTATCATGATCCCGTCTGTCGAATTCAGTCGTTGATGCTATCATTGTAACTCCACTATTTTGCATTGTACTTTTTTGATCTTGATCTTTCGTGTAAAAGGTATACCCGTTAATGTCATACCCTTCATAAGATTTAACTCTACAATCTGGCCCATGTCCCAATCTTTTCACAGTTTCATCAACATTAGTTTCTGCTACCTTATTTTTCAGCCACCTTGAAAACTCTTTATTATGATTGTTTATGTACCACATTTGTTCCTTGCCCGGGTATTTCGACTTCAACATGTCCATGTGTTCGTCAATGTATGGAGTAAGACATTTCATGTGTTTTAGGACCACTAAATGTGCAACTTGTAACTCTTCATAAGTTGGCATGGTTATTTTAAAACCGACTCCTCCCTTACCTTCAAGTCGACCTGAATGACGAGTTTTAGGAACACCAACACTTTCGACATCTTTCATATAGCCTATAAAAAATAAATTATTATATTATATGTAATATATTATAAATGTTTGTAATTGTAATATATTATTAATAGGATTACCTTGGTAGAATTCAATCACCTCTTCAAAAGTATACCATTCAACAATACTGCCCTCAGGTCGATTACGGTTCCTTACGTAACCTTTTAGGATACCTGTGTATCTTTCAAAAGGGTACATGTACCGTAAGAATACGGGACCACAAGCCTTAATCTCTTGTACGATGTGAGATATCAAGTGAACCATTATATCAAAAAATGAGGGTGGAAAGTGCATCTCTAATTCACAACGTGTAACATAAACGTCTTTCTCCCATTTATCCAAATCTTCTACGTCAATAACCTTTGAGTGAATGTTGTTAAAAAACAAGCAAAGCTTAGTGATAGAATGTCGTACATCATTTTGTAAAATTCCACGAATTGCGATAGGAATCATATGTGTCATCAAAACATGACAATCATGAGAATTCATTCCAAACAATTTACAGTCTTTCATCGACACAAATCTTTTAATGTTTGCAGAATAAGTTGATGGAACCTTAATATCATGTAAACATTGACAAAACTTTATTTTTTCTTCTTTGGATGTAGTATAACAAGCAGTTGGGAGATAAACACGGTTAGCACTCTGTTCGGGAGCAAGATCTTTCACGTATCCCCATCTCGACCATGTCCTTTCGGATATTAAACTCTAGTTTTATGCATCATACCTAATAATAAGCATATCAAGCTCTCACATACGTTTTTTTCAATATGCATAACATCTAGACAATGTCTAACATCCAAATGTCTCCAGTAAGGCAATTAAAAAAAAATTGACTTTTTTTTTCCAAAGGGCATCTTTATCAACACAATTTTTTTTTCCCAACACAACATTTATACTTGCAACTGGTGAAAATGCATCAAATCGTTTCCTCATCGTTTTGATCTCGATACGTCCATCAAACTCAATAGTTTTCTTCCTAAAACGGTGAGCCTTCGGAAGGAATCTTCGATGTCTCATGTATACAGTTTTTTTGCAATTTTTTAACCATATCGAGCTTGTTTGATCTTCACAAACTGGACACGCTTTCTTACCCTTTGTTTTGTATCCTGACAAGTAACCGTATGCTGGAAAATCACTTATAGTACAAAAAATCATGGCCCGCAATTGAAAGTGTTGTTTTTATAAGCATCATATACGTCTACACCCGAACTCCAAAGAGTTTTTAAGTCATCAATCAATGGAGACAAATACACATCAATATCGTTACCAGGTTGTCTCGGCCCCTGAATCAACAACGACATCATAATGTATTTCCGTTGCATGCATAACCACGGTGGAAGATTGTAAATGCACAAAAGAACCGGCCACGTACTATGACGACTGCTTATGTTCCCAAAAGGATTGACCCCGTCTGAACTAAGCCCAAACCGTATGTTTCTCATCTCTTTTCCAAATCCAGGATACTTCTTATCAATGTTTCTCCACTGAGGTGAATCTACAACATGTCTTAGTTTTCTATCAGTTTCACGTTCTTCCGAACGCCAACAAAGTAACTTTGCTTCTTTTTCGTTTGAAAATAACCTTTTCAGTCTCGGTATAATATGGAGATACCACAACATTTTAGCCAGTGGTCCATTTTTTTCACATCATCGTCAACTTCATCCAAATCTTTTTTCCGTTTATACCTCAATGCACCGCAAAAAACACAATTATGTTTATTCTCGAACTCCTTTCTATACAACATAGAGTTATTTGGACATGCATGTATTCTTTCAACTTCCAATCCCATCGGACACATTAGCTTTTTTGCTTGGTATGTAGAAATGGGTAATTCATTGTCTTCCGGAAGAATGTCATGCAAAAGCACTAATAGACTTGTGAAACTTTTATCACTCCATCCGTTTTTCGACTTTAAGTTCATCAACCTCAATACAACATCAAGTTTCATAAATGTGCAACTGCTATATAACGGTGTTTCTGCTTCTTCAAATAGGCCATGCAATTTTTCTTGTTCAACATCACCCATATTAGCCTCCATGTCATCGAACATTTCATTGAAATTGTCATTGGAATCATTTGAATGGTGATCATCATCAACAACATATGAATCTTTGTTGCATGTACTATTATTAATATGTAAATTGCTCGAGGATGTACTACAATCAAGTAGTGTTTCTCCATGTCTTGACCAACAAGTGTAATTAGGCACAAAACCATTTTGCAACAAATGATACTCTATTTTTTCGGTACAATTAAACGTTTTAAAGTTTTTACAAACGTTACAAGGACAACAAATCGATCCACTTCCTTTTTCTAAGCGATTTTCTTCGGCAACCCTAATAAAAGTTTGAACACCCTCTATATAAAATTGAGAAAAACGTGAAGTGTTGTACATCCAATAATCACAATTCATCTGAAAATTAAAATAAACATTCAAAGAAGGAAAATATATTGATTCTAAACAAACAAGTTATGAAAATTTTCACATGTTCACAATCTACACTAATCAATTTAAAAAATATCAATAAACAATCATTTAATAAATAAATACTTAGAATAAAATCAAAAGTACAATAAAATTAAAATTACCTTTAGTGAAGATAGCAAAACAATTAATGAGGGTATTTTGAGTTATTACGCATTTATGTTTATGTTTCATAAATGCAGAGAATCTCCATGTTCCAAAAGTTCGAAATATGTTAGAGTTTACAGAAACCCTAAAAGACGGATATAGATGGTTTTCATTTGATGCTTTTTTTTTTCAAAATATAACATCAAAAGATAAAGATTTAATAATGCTCTTTTAATAAATTGAGCATCAAAAAATCCTTATTTAATGATGCTTTTACAATGAAGTACCACTAAAAAATATAGTGTTTTCATTTGATGCGTTTTTTAAAATATAGCATCAAAAGATAAAGATTTAATGATGCTCTTTTATAAAAAGAGCATCAAAAAATCCTTATTTAATGATGCTGTTACATGAAGTAGCACTAAAAAATCATTTTTTGATGCTATTTATTTTTAACCGCCTTAACAAAAGCTTTTCAGAATTTATCCGGTACTTTTTTAAAGCGGTTCTTTGATTATTTAATGCGTTATACATTTAATGAGGCGGTTTTTACTATCAACCGCCTCAAAAATAAAGAATGGATCGCATTATTAAATCACTTGTGTAGTAGTGATAAATAGAAGTTTGGTTTTAAAAAGCGTAATATTACATACATATAATCATATACATTTAGTAAGTCAGAACAAACTATACAAGATATTAGATATATATACAACTATAAAGTTAAACTTCAACGTTGATCAATGATCATGCAGACATGCAATATAAAGTCATAAGCATACCACTTTAACTATTAAAACTGATAAGTGAATCAGTGATCACATGATTATAGATATTGATAATTTGATACATGTACATTTTACAATTATATATATATATATATATATATATATATATATATATATATATATATATATATATATATATATATATATTACATACAATCATACAGCTATACATTTATACGATTATAAGTCTTATAAGTTCTAATGTTTTAGTCAATTGTAGCAGTTAAAACGGAACAAAAAGAGCCTTATAATGATATGAAAATTTGAAAACAGAACATAGAAGTTTTTTTGGTGAAAATAACCATTTTTGCCTTTTTGGTCACTTTGGTCATTTTCACTATTTTTCCTAATTACATATTCTAATGTAGCACTTAAAACCGAACAAAAAAGAACCTTACAATGATATGAAATTTTGAAATTGTCATTTTGACGATTTAAAACTGAACAAAAAAAAAAAAACTCTTACAAAAAGAAGTATAATTTTCTTTGATAAAATTTACAATTTTGATCTTTTCGGTTAATTTGGCCATTTGGACCACTTAAAAATAAACAAAAAAAAAGAACGTTACGTATGAAACACTCAATCAGAAAGTAGAGGTTTATTTAGTTAAAATGACCATTTTGAACTATTTTGGTCAATTTGGTAATTTTCACCATTTTTGTTAATGTTTTGATTATTTGTAGTAGGGGTGTGCGCGGTGCGGTTTGGTGCGGTTTCGAGTCAAAACCGCAAACCGCACCGCATATGCGGTTTGAATAT